ATCAAAGATTGTTGTGCTGTATATGTATTCAACAGCTGCCCTGGACTTATCTTATATAAATTACTGCATATATGCAGTAATATATCAGAGTGATATATTACTGCCCTTGATTCTGATGTTTATGATCTTCTTATGATTACCCAATAGATTATCCACAGGCTGCAGTCAAGTCAGCTGCTCAGTAAATTAAGTATAGTGATGATCTTTAAAGCATGTATTAGTATCTTTTGCGGAGTTAGCAGATATAAATCTAAATCAGCATCTCTACACAGCATTTGAGCAGTAATAAAAATTAGGTGCCTGAACATTTTCTGGAAGATGCTCGTGTTGACTAACAAACCCAGAACCCAGTTGACCCAGAACAGTAAATTATATGTTTTGCACAATCATAAATGACTGTAGACAATTTACATTTGACCTCTAGGGACTGAATGGTGGCTCTTTAAAATGACTTCAACAGCAGTCCATTCACCCTCACAGAGCTTTACTTCACATAATTTATTTTAGGGTGCAGGTGATCCAGTGCTTGTCCACCTTTTGACATTTGTTTTTCTTCAACTCAATCTTCCATTAAAATGCTTCCTAATTTAGCATTGACATATTGAGACTTGACCTTTTTGCAATAACCTTCAATGACTGTCTTGTAGACAACTTTCCAGTAAGCTGTATTTATCATAATCCTGTAAGTCATAACATATCTGCATTAAAATCTTTTTTATCTGTCTTATTCATCTAAAAAAACCTCTGATAATGAAACATATCGATTTCCTTTGCTGTAAGCCGCAATAACCAGAATTCACAGAAAAAAAAAAACTTAAAGGATTTTATAGAAAATTTACTTTATATGAGTTAGATAATTAAGTTTGAATTACTAAAATATATTCACAATGTTCCAATTTATTGTGATGTCTTTGTCATTGATATGTGCATCCCCAATCTTTTTTTTTCAGGAACTTGAACTGAAGAATGTGAACTTGAGACCTGGAGACAAGCTGAAAGTAAAAGGGGAAATTTTGCATGACGCTGAGAGGTAATACAAACAGTTCATATTTAATAATTACTATAAGCCTGGATATTACTTTATTCCTCCTCATCCATGATTATGAAAATGCACAGCTGATGGAAGCTTTATACATTTGGTTTCTTACATATTTTTAAACACAATTATCAATAAACGAGTACTGCTTTGTTCAGAAAGTTTTGCTAAAAAAAAAAAAAAAAAAGTGGATTAATGATCCAAACAGGTTCCAGATTGACCTTGGTTTGGACTCAGAGGACCTGGCGCTGCACTTTAACCCCCATTACCATGATGATGCTGATGGAGCCGTTTTAGTGTGCAACTCAAAGACAGCGGGTTGCTGGGGCGATGAAAAGAGGGAAATTCACAACCTTCTACTGAGAGGCAGTGAAGTGAAGGTGAGGAAATGTTTGCATTACAGAAGAGATTATTATCCAGAGATGTTTGTGCGTTTCTTCAACCTGGCTCATATTTTTTTAAAGATTCGATTCCTAAATGTTTAAAATTTTAGCAAAGGAAAATTGTTTACTAAAATAAAATGCTTTCTGTTTCAGATTGTGTTGAAACTCTCTGAAGATGTGTTTGAGGTGGAGCTCCCTGATGGACAAGAGATGCAGTTTCCTAATCGTGCAGACATGGATGTCATCACCTACATCCGAGCTGCAGGGGATTTCAAACTCACAAGCTTTAAGATCTGCTGAAGCTTGTAACAGAAATGCATGAAGATCTAAATACCAGAATCAAATAAACCAATGTTGTTAGTACCTCATAAACCATAAAATGCTTTGTTGCATTTTATATTCATTAATCATTTTCTACAAGAAAAACAACAACAACAACAACAACAAACAACTTCAACAGTGCACCTCAGACAGCAGCACCATTTAACTGAAGAGTTTTCCAGGATAGGATGGAAGAATCTGGGACTTAACCATGGAGTTTAAGTTTCTTCTCCCAAAGCACATCAAAAACCCTTCGCTCATGTGGTTTAAAAACTTTGTTTTTAGATGAGAAATCTTATATATGTGCCAGGTATGAGTTGATGGGTAGCATTATTTAGGTCAAATTTTTTGTAGAGGAAAAAAAAAAGACCAGTAGAAGAAAAAAATACACTGAAGCTACATTAACACAGCAGGTTTCAGTGTTCAGTTCCTTTTTTTTTATAATCTGATCTTTTCATCATCATATCTTATACTATTAATTAAATTTGACAGCGATCAGACTTTAGTCTGAACAGTTCAGGACATGAGAACGACCCATGTGCACAGAAGAAGAATGAAGAAGACAAACAGCAGAGCACTGTTTTATGGAAGTAATGATGAACGTGACTGTTACTTCAAGTGTTCAATAAAGCTTTGATGAGAAATAAAACAACAACAAAAAAACATAATAGTGGATACCAGTGTATCTATGTTATTACTGAAAAATGGGAGCTGACACTATACTGGTACAAGATCTAACAATTAAACAGGGAAAGAAAAAAAATTATTCTAGTTCGAGGGAAATCTTGAAGGTATGGTACACAGACAGGCAGAGATCTGGCAGGAGTCAGAAGACAGGTGAGGCAACCAGATTAGACAGGGACAGGCAGGCTCTGGGGTCGAGAGGAAGAACAGGTTATTCAGCAGTCAATGTTAATTCTGACAGCTAACCCTAGAAAAAAGTAATTGGGGGTGCTGCTGTTTTTAAGGCAGTGCGGCCCATCCTCCTTGACAGATCCCAAGTAAGATATAAATCAGTTACCCATCCACAGTTCTCCTGCTTGTTCACTGCTTGCTTCTTTACTTGGCTATCTGAATTGTGATGGGATTGCTTTATAATTTATTAAGGGTAAGTTTCAAGACATGTTTGTCTGTGATTGGAAGCTAAAACAGAACTAAAAGAGAGTAATTTGGCATTTTACCTTTCTGTGATTTTCACAACAAATAAGCTACAGTAGGTTGAAGTACAGAGTTTCAAGATTTCCCCAATCTGCCTTTGCCTACATGTTCACCCTTTTTGTCTACTCTAAAAACACAGTACATCTGGGTGTTAGAGTTTATTTATTGATTTATATCAAGAAAAAAGACATTTTCAAGTCATAATTATTCTTTAAAATTATTAAGAGTAAAACAAATACATAGTATAAATGCCACAACATTACAAAAAAAAAATGTAAAGGTAAGAATATTGAAATACATGTTGATTCAGTTTAACTCAACTAAGTTTTGAAAATAAAAAGGAAAACAAAGTAGAAAACACCGCAAGTAAATTGTTTTCTCATTAAAGAATGACATGTCCCCACAATTCCCATGATGGATATTTTAGTTATATATCTATTTTAGAATTTTTTTTTTACTAAGCTAGCTAATTGCCTTTATTCGATCTCATTACATTGACATTTTTATTTCAAGGCTTTTAAATTTAAAACACAAAAATATGCCATGATGAATTGATTCAAACTATACAAAAAGTCAACATATTGTACATACATATACCATGTCAGTCCTAATGCTTTACATTTTAAAGATGCCTTCTTTAATACCATCTTTGGTTTAATGAGAAATCACCAAAATAAGGAAAAAAAAGACAATAACAACAACAAAAATAACGAGAACTTAACAAACAAGCTACAATATGGAGTTATTAATATGAAGTTAGATATATAGACATTTGTACTGAAGTAATTTCAATGATCCTAAACTGAAGTATAACTCAATCACAACAGAAATTACAAACCAAACATCTATTGCTGAGACACTAATTCTGCAAATACTTCAACAAAATCTTTTTGTTTTTTTTTCTACTGTTATGAACCATCCGACTTTAGGGATTATTTATTTATGAGCAGTTGCATTTTTTTTTTCACAAACTACACATTTCACTTAAGCTTCCAATGGCTTCCTCTTTACTGAGATGTTTCCATTCTTGAGGAATTTCTCCCCGACCCTGGAATTTCAAATCATAGTATTTTTCCACTTCCTCTTGGAAGTGGCAGACAAACCATTTCCAGTAGGCCAACATAGAAGCATCAGCTGTGATGCTCCATGAAGCATATCTTTCTCCAGCAGTTGGGTACTGTTTATAAGGTACGCTCTGCTCTGAGTCATGTTCAGGGTAAAAGCTTCTGTCACTTGCAACTGATGTGGTGCAAAAATCAACAACCAGGTCGACTTTTCCTCTAACATGCCAACCTTTAACTCCAGAAGGTCGATGAAAGGGAACACTGTGTTTCTCAGGACTGTGATCCTTCAGTGTGTTGGTGCAAACAGCAGCACAGAAAGGACACCTTTCCCAGCAGCAGTTACACAGCTGATCAATGAGGATTTGTTCAGGCTTCTGCCTGCATTCATTCACTTTATTAAGGGGCAGACTTTTCATTTCCTCTGTGATGATTTTCAGGCCTTTCTCTATCTCTTCTTTCAGAAAGTCAAAATTGTTTATGTCTCTAAAGTTTTGACAATTAATGGTATCAAGTGTCAAGTTTGGCTCTAATACACTGGAAAACTCCTCTAACCAGTCTTTTATGTCTCCCTTCCTCTTTTGAAGTTTTTCTGTTGCCTTAAACAAAGCATGACTGATGATCTTGTTGAAGTTTTCTACATTTTTCCTGAGAATAGTCTGGGCTTTAGTTTTCTGTCTTATGAACATGTATTTACTCACCTCTTCTTTTATAAAGGCTTCTACTTGCCTTCTTGGGTTTCTGATGTAGGTGATGAAACTGTTAAAGTCTTCTTTCTTTGCCAGAGCTGTCAAGACATGTTTCTCTAAGTTCAGTCTGTTGCCATTAAATGCTGGGAAATTGCACATCATCTCTCCAGCAATATCAACCGCAGTCTTGTTACAAACAGCTTCAATAGCAGAGACCTTTAGTTTTTCACTCATCATTTCTCCAAACACAACAACAGATGAGCTTCCTCTGCAAAAGCCTCTAAAGATGTTGTAATATTCTGTTTTTTTGCTTTCCAAATAGGTAATCACGTCATTGTTCTGCTTGAATATCTTATGGGAGTCTAAGAGCCAACTTGCTGCCCTGTCAAACACATACAGTGAAAGGTCAACTATAAACTCTTTCTTAAATGTAAATTTCCTTTCTGATTCAAACTCTGTCACTCTGTTTTTAATAGTTTTGGCAAGTTCCTGTAAGTAAGTTATGCTGTAACCTCTTGTTGAAACAGGTTTGGTCTTAATGATCTCCAGACAACTTTTATTAACTTCTTGGATGAATAATCTGATTGTTTCCTGTTCTTCATGCTGAACACGATTTAATTTACTTTCGTCCATATTTTTTTGAGTTGTTGATTCCTTTTGAAAGAACAGCAAAGCTCCTTTTATTTTCTGAAAAAATGAAGAGTTATCATTTTTTCTCACTGGTTCTATCTTGCATTCCTGAGATTGTTGACCTACTTTGGAGCAACATATAGACTTCTTTTTTGTTATATAACCAGAGTAATCCCCAGTTTCTGACAGATTTTTGTATGCATTGCTTTTTTGTGACTCATTAATGAGCCCCGGTTCAAGACCTAGACCTAGAAGAACATCTAACTCATCATCCTGCAAGTTTATATCCTCAACTGGTTTTGCATCTGGGTTTAATTCCGTTGCAAACTGAATCCAGACAGTGTTAAACTGTGCTTTTACTTTATGTTCATCCTCTGCTAAGGATTTTAATCCAACAGCAAGCTCTTTACTCTTCTGGAAGAGTTTATTTTCAAACTCAGTTTTCTTTTTGTCAAGCTTTTTTCGAGCTTTATTCTGCCTGATAACGTCATCCAGTTTTCTTTTCACGCCTCTCAAGAGTTCCTCATGAAACTCTCTAATTTTGTTCTCAAATCGGCCCTTCCACTGAACCAGCATTTCTTTGTCTTTGTCATTATCAAAGTAAGCTCCTATACTGTCTGTTACTGCTTTGTAAGTTTCTTTAATTTCTTTGGAAAGGTAACTGAGCTCAGCTTTGTCCAGCTGCCCCTTTTCAATCTTGGGATAAAGCTGGTTTTCAATGTTCAGCATTTCACTCCTCAGGGTCCAAGTCCAGTTCCCATACTGGACCTCCAGCTTTCTGTAAACTGCAATTTCTTGGGTGTTTTTAAAACTAAAAACAAAGTTTTCATTCATCAAGGCATTCCACAAGTCCTGAATCTTGGTATTTAAATGTGACAAAAGGATCCCATCAGAAGGTTTAGCCTTGGAGAGGATGATGGTCTTCAGTTCTTGGACACTCTCACTATACCCTGGATTTGGAGGAGCCATTGGTGGACTTCCCTCCCACAGCTGAGCAAAGTATTTAACATCTTTTTGCACATCAAATGCAATGACATCACTGAAGCACTCAACATCACACCCTTCCTCTTTGGCAGCTAGTTTAGCCATATTGTCCAGTATTTCCTGCAGGTGTCTTTTTCCATCCATGTTTTTCTCTGTTGCTGTAATATCTGTGACATTCTGGTGAACAAACACACAACTTGGAGAAAGCTTGACCTTTTTCATCCTCATGAAAGCCTGCACAACGATCTGCAGGACATCTTGCATCTCAGCTGGATTCTCACCAAAGATGTTTATTAAGGTCATGTTTCCCAGACCAACAACAAATGTTGCAAGTTCATTGTCATGATGAATGGTGGCGTTGCCTGCTAACTCAAGAGCACGTAGTCCTTCAGTGTCAACAACTAGAATATAGTCAAACTTGTAGTCTTTCTGGATTTCATCTGACAGTTTAACCAGCTGCATGTAAACACCCTTGGTGCACCTCCCAGCACTCACTGCAAACTGCAATCCAAACATGACATTCAGCATTGTTGACTTCCCGCTGCTTTGTACGCCTAGAACTGACAGCACAAAGACTCGCTGGTCACCCAGTTTCTTGATGACTTCCTGTATAAGACTGGAGACCCATATTAAAGGCACATGGCCTGCATCACCATCCATCAGCTCCATCGGGTGTCCTTTTATCATCAGATCTGCAGCCAGCTCAGGGTATTTAGTCCATTCAGCCTGTTGGCCTGGTGAGAGGTTTTTCAAAAATTTGTGAGCTTCGTAGATCTGCCCCATTTCTCTGAAGATGTGTTCCAGACCAAAAGTTGCTGATTGGAGCTTTTTTGATAACTGATTAAGCTGAGCTTGTTTGTCATTTAATTCGGCAGATTTGTCATGTTTCTTCTTTAGTTCCAAGACTTCTGACCATGTTTTATCATACTCTTGGAGAACTGAAGAAAGGTCATCTGTAGAGAGTTCATCTATCAGGATCTGAGTCCATTTCAAGAAATATTCTCTGTCTTTTGGTGGCAAACGCACAAGGCTCTCAGTGAATGACTTCATCAGTGAACTGTTGGACAGGTCACTCTGCTTTTGTCTCAGCTCCATTAGCTGCTGGATTTTCATACTCCTTTCTTTCTCAATGTGTCCCTTTAGGTTGTGTGATTCTTTTTTGATTTTGCACCATTCGAACCAAGGCTGGCCTTGGCAGGGAAGAAATGTAGCTTTTATTTTAGAAACATCCTTCCCTTCAATCAGTTGAACCAGTTTTATGGCAGCAGATTTCCCATTCCTGCAATCCTCTGCATCTTCATCTGCCGTGACTCTGAAGTCATTTGCCATTATTTCAAGTTGAAAGGTTGTGTGAGGTCCAGACAAAATGGCTCTTATAATCTCTTTCAATTCTTCAGAAACATCCGACTGGCTTCTTTCTTTCAGACCCACTTTGTAGTTTGCTGGTTTCATCTCAACTGCCCTACAGCCATTGTCAGCAATGAGAATAATGAGAGGCTTTGGGGACTTGTAAAGCATTGAAATGATTTTGCTACTTTCCTGGCCTTTTTCCAAAGTTTCTACAAGAACCACAATGACTGAGGACTTTTCAGTTAATATTTCACGCTGTTTTACATTTTTTAGTGAATCCCCATGAAGATTACAGAAGGCAGTGCAGTCAGTAAAGAAATCACTGGGTTTTCCAGCAGGGCAGTACCAGGCAATCTCTGCCACACCATCCATCAAATAACGAGATTTGGTGCTGCCTGGGCAGTTTCTATGGAAGAATGTGTGGTGGCGGTCGTTGATCAAGGCATTCATGAGCTGAGATTTGGACAAAGACATGGAGCCCAGTCGGAAAAATGAAACCATGGGAGTCTGAGCTTTGTAGATTGGAATGCTTTTCATTGTAACAGTGGTTTTATTGTCTTTTGTTGTAACTCTTTTCCATGNAAAAAAACATAATAGTGGATACCAGTGTATCTATGTTATTACTGAAAAATGGGAGCTGGCACTATACTGGTCCAAGATCTAACAATTAAACAGGGAAAGAAAAAAAATTATTCTAGTTCGAGGGAAATCTTGAAGGTATGGTACACAGACAGGCAGAGATCTGGCAGGAGTCAGAAGACAGGTGAGGCAACCAGATTAGACAGGGACAGGCAGGCTCTGGGGTCGAGAGGAAGAACAGGTTATTCAGCAGTCAATGTTAATTCTGACAGCTAACCCTAGAAAAAAGTAATTGGGGGTGCTGCTGTTTTTAAGGCAGTGCGGCCCATCCTCCTTGACAGATCCCAAGTAAGATATAAATCAGTTACCCATCCACAGTTCTCCTGCTTGTTCACTGCTTGCTTCTTTACTTGGCTATCTGAATTGTGATGGGATTGCTTTATAATTTATTAAGGGTAAGTTTCAAGACATGTTTGTCTGTGATTGGAAGCTAAAACAGAACTAAAAGAGAGTAATTTGGCATTTTACCTTTCTGTGATTTTCACAACAAATAAGCTACAGTAGGTTGAAGTACAGAGTTTCAAGATTTCCCCAATCTGCCTTTGCCTACATGTTCACCCTTTTTGTCTACTCTAAAAACACAGTACATCTGGGTGTTAGAGTTTATTTATTGATTTATATCAAGAAAAAAGACATTTTCAAGTCATAATTATTCTTTAAAATTATTAAGAGTAAAACAAATACATAGTATAAATGCCACAACATTACAAAAAAAAAATGTAAAGGTAAGAATATTGAAATACATGTTGATTCAGTTTAACTCAACTAAGTTTTGAAAATAAAAAGGAAAACAAAGTAGAAAACACCGCAAGTAAATTGTTTTCTCATTAAAGAATGACATGTCCCCACAATTCCCATGATGGATATTTTAGTTATATATCTATTTTAGAATTTTTTTTTTACTAAGCTAGCTAATTGCCTTTATTCGATCTCATTACATTGACATTTTTATTTCAAGGCTTTTAAATTTAAAACACAAAAATATGCCATGATGAATTGATTCAAACTATACAAAAAGTCAACATATTGTACATACATATACCATGTCAGTCCTAATGCTTTACATTTTAAAGATGCCTTCTTTAATACCATCTTTGGTTTAATGAGAAATCACCAAAATAAGGAAAAAAAAGACAATAACAACAACAAAAATAACGAGAACTTAACAAACAAGCTACAATATGGAGTTATTAATATGAAGTTAGATATATAGACATTTGTACTGAAGTAATTTCAATGATCCTAAACTGAAGTATAACTCAATCACAACAGAAATTACAAACCAAACATCTATTGCTGAGACACTAATTCTGCAAATACTTCAACAAAATCTTTTTGTTTTTTTTTCTACTGTTATGAACCATCCGACTTTAGGGATTATTTATTTATGAGCAGTTGCATTTTTTTTTTCACAAACTACACATTTCACTTAAGCTTCCAATGGCTTCCTCTTTACTGAGATGTTTCCATTCTTGAGGAATTTCTCCCCGACCCTGGAATTTCAAATCATAGTATTTTTCCACTTCCTCTTGGAAGTGGCAGACAAACCATTTCCAGTAGGCCAACATAGAAGCATCAGCTGTGATGCTCCATGAAGCATATCTTTCTCCAGCAGTTGGGTACTGTTTATAAGGTACGCTCTGCTCTGAGTCATGTTCAGGGTAAAAGCTTCTGTCACTTGCAACTGATGTGGTGCAAAAATCAACAACCAGGTCGACTTTTCCTCTAACATGCCAACCTTTAACTCCAGAAGGTCGATGAAAGGGAACACTGTGTTTCTCAGGACTGTGATCCTTCAGTGTGTTGGTGCAAACAGCAGCACAGAAAGGACACCTTTCCCAGCAGCAGTTACACAGCTGATCAATGAGGATTTGTTCAGGCTTCTGCCTGCATTCATTCACTTTATTAAGGGGCAGACTTTTCATTTCCTCTGTGATGATTTTCAGGCCTTTCTCTATCTCTTCTTTCAGAAAGTCAAAATTGTTTATGTCTCTAAAGTTTTGACAATTAATGGTATCAAGTGTCAAGTTTGGCTCTAATACACTGGAAAACTCCTCTAACCAGTCTTTTATGTCTCCCTTCCTCTTTTGAAGTTTTTCTGTTGCCTTAAACAAAGCATGACTGATGATCTTGTTGAAGTTTTCTACATTTTTCCTGAGAATAGTCTGGGCTTTAGTTTTCTGTCTTATGAACATGTATTTACTCACCTCTTCTTTTATAAAGGCTTCTACTTGCCTTCTTGGGTTTCTGATGTAGGTGATGAAACTGTTAAAGTCTTCTTTCTTTGCCAGAGCTGTCAAGACATGTTTCTCTAAGTTCAGTCTGTTGCCATTAAATGCTGGGAAATTGCACATCATCTCTCCAGCAATATCAACCGCAGTCTTGTTACAAACAGCTTCAATAGCAGAGACCTTTAGTTTTTCACTCATCATTTCTCCAAACACAACAACAGATGAGCTTCCTCTGCAAAAGCCTCTAAAGATGTTGTAATATTCTGTTTTTTTGCTTTCCAAATAGGTAATCACGTCATTGTTCTGCTTGAATATCTTATGGGAGTCTAAGAGCCAACTTGCTGCCCTGTCAAACACATACAGTGAAAGGTCAACTATAAACTCTTTCTTAAATGTAAATTTCCTTTCTGATTCAAACTCTGTCACTCTGTTTTTAATAGTTTTGGCAAGTTCCTGTAAGTAAGTTATGCTGTAACCTCTTGTTGAAACAGGTTTGGTCTTAATGATCTCCAGACAACTTTTATTAACTTCTTGGATGAATAATCTGATTGTTTCCTGTTCTTCATGCTGAACACGATTTAATTTACTTTCGTCCATATTTTTTTGAGTTGTTGATTCCTTTTGAAAGAACAGCAAAGCTCCTTTTATTTTCTGAAAAAATGAAGAGTTATCATTTTTTCTCACTGGTTCTATCTTGCATTCCTGAGATTGTTGACCTACTTTGGAGCAACATATAGACTTCTTTTTTGTTATATAACCAGAGTAATCCCCAGTTTCTGACAGATTTTTGTATGCATTGCTTTTTTGTGACTCAATAATGAGCCCCGGTTCAAGACCTAGACCTTGAAGAACATCTAACTCATCTTCCTGCAAGTTTATATCCTCAACTGGTTTTGCATCTGGGTTTAATTCCGTTGCAAACTGAATCCAGACAGTGTTAAACTGTGCTTTTACTTTATGTTCATCCTCTGCTAAGGATTTTAATCCAACAGCAAGCTCTTTACTCTTCTGGAAGAGTTTATTTTCAAACTCAGTTTTCTTTTTGTCAAGCTTTTTTCGAGCTTTATTCTGCCTGATAACGTCATCCAGTTTTCTTTTCACGCCTCTCAAGAGTTCCTCATGAAACTCTCTAATTTTGTTCTCAAATCGGCCCTTCCACTGAACCAGCATTTCTTTGTCTTTGTCATTATCAAAGTAAGCTCCTATACTGTCTGTTACTGCTTTGTAAGTTTCTTTAATTTCTTTGGAAAGGTAACTGAGCTCAGCTTTGTCCAGCTGCCCCTTTTCAATCTTGGGATAAAGCTGGTTTTCAATGTTCAGCATTTCACTCCTCAGGGTCCAAGTCCAGTTCCCATACTGGACCTCCAGCTTTCTGTAAACTGCAATTTCTTGGGTGTTTTTAAAACTAAAAACAAAGTTTTCATTCATCAAGGCATTCCACAAGTCCTGAATCTTGGTATTTAAATGTGACAAAAGGATCCCATCAGAAGGTTTAGCCTTGGAGAGGATGATGGTCTTCAGTTCTTGGACACTCTCACTATACCCTGGATTTGGAGGAGCCATTGGTGGACTTCCCTCCCACAGCTGAGCAAAGTATTTAACATCTTTTTGCACATCAAATGCAATGACATCACTGAAGCACTCAACATCACACCCTTCCTCTTTGGCAGCTAGTTTAGCCATATTGTCCAGTATTTCCTGCAGGTGTCTTTTTCCATCCATGTTTTTCTCTGTTGCTGTAATATCTGTGACATTCTGGTGAACAAACACACAACTTGGAGAAAGCTTGACCTTTTTCATCCTCATGAAAGCCTGCACAACGATCTGCAGGACATCTTGCATCTCAGCTGGATTCTCACCAAAGATGTTTATTAAGGTCATGTTTCCCAGACCAACAACAAATGTTGCAAGTTCATTGTCATGATGAATGGTGGCGTTGCCTGCTAACTCAAGAGCACGTAGTCCTTCAGTGTCAACAACTAGAATATAGTCAAACTTGTAGTCTTTCTGGATTTCATCTGACAGTTTAACCAGCTGCATGTAAACACCCTTGGTGCACCTCCCAGCACTCACTGCAAACTGCAATCCAAACATGACATTCAGCATTGTTGACTTCCCGCTGCTTTGTACGCCTAGAACTGACAGCACAAAGACTCGCTGGTCTCCCAGTTTGTTGATGACTTCCTGTATAAGACTGGAGACCCATATTAAAGGCACGTGGCCAGCATCACCATCCATCAGCTCCATTGGGTGTCCTTTTATCATCAGATCTGCAGCCAGCTCAGGGTATTTAGTCCATTCAGTCCATTGGCCAAGTGATGATTTTTTCAAAGATTTATGTGCTTCATAGATCTGCCCCATTTCTCTGAAGATGTGTTCCAGACCAAAAGTTGCTGATTGGAGCTTTTTTGATAACTTATTAAGCTGAGCTTGTTTGACATCGAAGTTAGCAGATTTGTCATGTTTCCTCTTTAGTTCCAAGACTTCTGACCATGTTTTATCATAATCTTGGAGAATTGAAGAAAGGTCATCTGTAGAGAGGGCATCAATCAGGATCTGAGTCCATTTCAAGAAATATTCTCTTTCTTTTGGTGGCAAACGCCTGAGGCTCTCAGTGAAGGACTTCACCAGTTCACTGTTGGACAGGTCACACTGCTCCTGTCGAAGCCTCATCAACTGCAGATTTTTCAGACCTTTTTCTTTCTCAATGTGCCCCTTTAGGTTATACAATTCTTTATTGATTTTGCACCACTCATACCAAAGTTGGCCTTGGCAGGGAAGAAATGTATCTTTTATTTTTGAAATATCCATCTCTTCAATCAGTTTAACTAGTTTCAAAGCAGCAGATTTCCCATTCCTGCAAACCTCTGCGTCTTCATCCACCTTGACTCTGGGGTCGTTGGCCAAAGTTTCAATTTGAAAGACTGAGTGAGGTCCGGACAAAATGGCTCTTATAATCTCTTTCAGTTCTTCAGAAACATCCGACTGGCTTCTTTCTTTCAGACCCAGTTTGTATTTATATGGTTTTATCTGAACTGCACTTGAGTCGTTGTCAGCACTGAGAATAATCAGAGGCTTTGAAGACATGTAAAGCATTGAAACCATTTCACTACTTTCTTGGCCTTCTTTCAAAGTTTCTACCAGAACCACAATGACTGAGGACTTTTCAGTCAATATTTCACACTGTTTTAAATTTTTTAATGAATCCCCATGAAGATTACAGAAGGCAATGCAGTCAGTAAAGAAATCATTGGGTTTTCCAGCAGGGCAGTACCAGGCAATCTCAGCCACACCATCCATCAAATAACAAGATTTGGTGCTACCTGGACAGTTTCTATGGAAGAATGTGTTGTGGCGGTCGTTGATCAAGGCATTCATGAGCTGAGATTTGGA